AATGATGCCGGATAAAAAAAAATCCATTAAAATCACTGTTGTTTACGCTTCGGGTACGAAATTGAAGCTCAACGAGGAAACGTGGTTTCTGTAAATAGGTAATTCAAATTGTGGGCAAATCGGTAATGGCACGTTCCGGCTATAGAAGTGTTTTGCCTGATGGAAATCGGCATACAGATTCGATTCCAGTCGGGAATACAATTTTTTTTAGCAAGATTTTCCAATCTAGGCCGGTTGTTATTAATTTCAGTGTTTAAGAAAATAAAAAAAAGAAAGAACAATAGCAAATCAAATACGTGCTGCTACTAAAAACAATGTTTATAATAATAAAAATTGAATGGTTTTATGTTTGAGATACCATCGATCAGAATTTCTCGTTATTGTATAACAGCGCCCTCTATATTGTTAAAATAAATTAGTTTTTGGCATTACTTAAATAGGGAAACTTTTCTTTTAGGAAATAATTTTTGGAGATTAATATTCTTTAAAACTTTCTTAGGCTGCAACATGTCTCAGAATATTAGTTCGTTCTCGATTTTATAATATCGATACAGTGTCAAAGTGATCCCTGATTTTTTTTAAGAGTTAATGGCCTTAGGTTAAGACAGCAGTAATTTACAAATGTCAAATTCGAAAATGTGCTAACGTCATTGATATATGCATAATTTTTTCAATTTTCTAAATTTTTAAAACTTTTTTTGCGTGAGATTTTTTCGAGGCACATGCGCAAACATTTGAGGTTAATATAATTATTTACCTTGAATTAAGAATAAACAGATACATAATTTTATTAATATATGTAAATTTTTGTTTTTAACTTAAAAATGTATACATCTGTTTGTTCGTTAAGAGAAATCATTTATAATGTCACCTCAAAAAAACTTATCTTCTGTACGCAAAATAACTAGGACTGAAAAAGTCAGTATCGATATTATAAACAGGAAACCCTTCTAAATCGATAACAATCAATATTTTCGATTATATCAAATGTTGCGAGCCCAGGAGGGTCTAAAGAATAGTAATCTACATAAATTATCACTGCCCCCACCATCATTTTTTTTATGGAGTGGAACAGTCTATTTAAATAGTGTCCAGTTTCTTTTATAATTCCATTTATCATAAGAGACAGTTATTATTATTGAAGATAGGGCACTTCGACGTTGTATAATGGTAGAGCCAGCTTGTCTCGCTAATTTAATTACGACTGAGTAGTGAGTTCGTTCCTCACTGGGTGCCCTTGACCTTGTGCCACAACTAAGCTACTCTTAGTAAATCGCTATTATTGTTAAAGACTAATTTTTGGTTGGTTATTATGTTTAGCGGCATATCAACATTTCTATGGGTTATTTAATGCCGAAATCTAAATATTTTTAATGCAATTTTATGCCTTCAATTTCAGATATTTTGTACATAATTTTATACTTTACAAGGCAAACATGTTTTTTTTTAAATGTATGTATATTTTGTAGAAGATAAAAAATATTGTTGATAATATTTTTTCAAAATGCATTGCTGGTCATTTTACAATAAAATGTATTGTTATACATTTTTTTAGTGTTGAATTGATTGTCATTTTGCCATAAAAATGTATTGTTGATCATTTTATTACAAAATGTAGTGTTGATCATTTTATTATAAAATGTAGTGTTGATCATTTTACTATAATTATGTATTATTGGTAATACTTTTTATAAACATGTATTACTGGTAATTTCACTACAAAAATGTATTTTTGGTATTTTTACTCTAAAAACCGTTTTGATTTCAGTTTTGGGGTTCAATATTTGCATATAGCTGGAACCCTAAAAGGTGCTACATCCTGGGTCAAGCTGGACCTGGGGAAAAACAAGAATTAAGAGGTGGTTCATCTGCGAGTAGTAAGTTCCACTCGAACAACTTCTTCCCGCTGCTCTGTGGAACAGACTCCCAAGATTTCCCTGATCACTACAATCTTAACCTGTTCAAGTCAGGAGTTAACTGTGGAGAGCCATGATCGCCTATGTCCTGAAAGGATGCTATGTAGAGCCATGATCGTCTACGTTTCATATTAATAATATATATATATATATATATATATATATATATATATATATATATATATATATATATATTCGGGCACTACTTAAGTAGATTGGTCGACTTGTCAAAAATAGGAGAAAAAAATTTTGGAAATAATTCATTAGACGTTCCACAATCCGTGACATTTGTCGAAACCGATAAAAACTAAATCAATATTTTTCAATTGTTAAAAATGCCGTGGCTTGAGGGAATGAATTTTTCCAGTGCGCCCACATCACTACCGAATGTGACAGTTATGTGAATAATAGACAGGATTTAAATTTGTCGTTTTGAAGAGTGATTGAAGCCAACATAACCCTTTCGGTCTCGAAGGATAAACATTTGAAATTATTTCACGCAAAAGCCTGAAAGAGGAACACAATTCACAGGCAAACTCGAAAATACAATCGATCCAATTTGGCTAAAAACGTTGGTGTAGTCCGCACACTGTAGCGGACTTGTCAGGTTTCAGTTTGCCCGGTGGAAAGTGGGCACCTGATCGAAAGGGCTACTTATATCAAATAAAAATGTAATAAAGAAACAAACATATACAACTGTTTTAGTAATAAAAAGGAATAAGAACTTTATAAAGTCATTTGCACACTATCAGTTATTCAAGTTCAAAATGACAGGACATTTTCAAAGCTAAAGATCATAAAGACAGGCTTATGAAATTATGGAATCATCCATATTGCTATCCAGTGAAAAGGACTTGTTAGATAAATTGGGTGCAGAATCAATTATTGGCAAATTCGAACAATCAAGTGAACACAAATGATTGATCTTAATATAGTAGACTGTATTCATTGCTATATTGTGCTTTTGAACGATCTGTCAAAGTGTAAATTGTAGAATCAACTATTTAAAAATATCAAAGAATAACTTAAAATTAAAAAAAATTGAATAACATTTAATTATAACATTTTGTATTTACATTTGGTATGTACTGTCATTCATAAGTTCAGTACCTGTATACTAATGACTAAGAAATACACATTTTTCCACAAAAGTTTTAATTGTGTATTTTTTAAAACTTGACTTATTCTTTATGAAAATTAAATAATAGCATTGTAGTTGTGGTCTGACCCTCTTTGTCGCTTGGCAACCAAAAGTTTTAGACACAGTTCCGCCACTGGATGTGCGCGTGCGCGCGCGTGGGCATATGCACACACACACACACACACACACACACACACACACACACACACACACACACACACACACACACACACACACACACACACACACACACACAAGAGTTTCTGATGTAAACATTACGCTACAACTTAGTTCCTCACAGTCTAAAATACTCGAAAACCTTTTATACAACTTTATTATCAGATAAGCTTTCACAAATACTAATAAAGCGTCCACAAGTTTACAAAGCGTAAGACCTAATTAATACTAAACTTTTATGAAACAGGAAATTAGTATAGATAGTTCAAATCCTGTCTTCTGTCGGATATACTAATGTCTATAATGGTCATTGGAGAGTAGAGAAGACCAAGAGATTTCCTCTTTTTTCCAAGCACCACAATAAAATATTGTAATTAAGCTAATCATGTTTTCTAAAGCGAACGATTCATTGAAAAGAAAAATGCAGAAATATAATCACTATTCTAACTATAGGAAATTCGAAATTATATGAGCTCTAGTGAATATACGATTCTTCCTCTAATGCCATACCCCTTCAGGGCATAGGCGCTCATGACTCTCCACGGATTCCTTTCCTTTATGAATCGCCATGGATTCTTGAGAAAGGTAGTGAATTGGTTTCCCGTTTGAAATTCAAAATGTCACTTCTCTTGCCATTCAAGGATAAAGAGTACAGTCTACTATAATATTTAACCCATAGCTGGGGCGAGGAGAGAAGATTAGAGATTTATGTCTTACTCAGGGGTGTTTGTGTGAAAGAGAGACACAACAGACAAGCCAGGAATATGAACTCGTCTCGCAGATTCCACTTTCTACGCTGATATCCGATACACGAAACTGCACATCCCGAGTAAACATAACGGTAATAAAATAAAATAAACGCAGTATAATTGTTCGATACGCCATCTTTACTTTTGAATATATTCACAAAATTATGTCATTTACCTGACCATAAGGGCCACCGTGACTGGAAATAAAATTACAGAGAAAGTTCCATTTCATTTATTGTAATAAAATAAATAATATTAAGTAAAATTAAAATAATAAAATAAATAAAAAGTAACTATTGGCGATTTTAGGAAAATGTTCCAATCGACTTCAAAAAGAAAATCTTCTGGTCTTGTGGCCCTCCTCCCATTGGCATCGAGCAATACACGAAAGCGTTCTTTTTAATTAATTTATGACAATAAGTCATTCTCTACTTTTAAGCAACTTATTCAATAATCTATTTTGAGTTCTGTTACTTTTTATTTTGTACAGTTTTGTAATTTACTTTATTACAATTTTATTGGGGATTTTTCTTTTGCAATTTCTTCTGTGAGAGGGAATTAATTTATTTTGGTGAATTTTAAATATTTTTGTTGGTTTTTCTTTTCTGATGAATCTTTTAATTTTGCAATTTATTTTTGGGTGTGTGTCTCTGTGTGTTTTTAGTTTAGTATTTTTAGATGATTTTTGGTGATATTTAGGGTTTTTTTTTTTTGTTTTTGTAAATTTTCTGGGTGATTTTCTTTTTTTAGTAATTTTTGGGGGAATTTTTCTGATTTAACACCACAAAAATAAAACCTTTTCTCACACAATAAAATCACATATTTTAGGTTGATTGAGCAAACAAAAACATTGCTTATGTTAAAATAAGTAATAATGAATAATAATAAAATAAGTAATATTAAAATAATAAAAAGAAATACTAAAACGAATAATAACATAATTTAATATCATTAAATATAAAATCAAAAAAGCAGACGTTAGATATCAATAACTAATAAAACATGAAATTCACTTACAACAGTGATGAGTATTATTAAGAAATAAAGTCTGTATCCTTCATAACTCCGCATGGTTCTCGGTGCTGTACTGTTTAAAAACGTAAATCAAATGTACTTTCATAGTTTATATATTTTTGTGTGATCAGATAAAAAAAAATCAGCAGGCAACGTAAACGACCGACATAAACTTGACATTCTATCCCATGATTCCACGACGTAACCATCTTACGTTCAATAGACTATCACCAAATCTCTTTTAGTAGCCCGGGTCAAAGGAATAGCTTCAAATATTTATCATGTAATTGGTCACGTATTCTTTTTGAGATAACTAAGATACTTTGCAGACATTTCGTACTTTACAAATGGGGTTCGAAGGAGAGATTTTTAACCGGTTTAAAAATGATTTGATCTAAATTTCCCAATTACAATGACAAGTAGAAATATTGGTTTCAGTGACTTCATTTTTGTTAAAATGATAGTGCTTGCATAGTTACAAATGTGATTCAAAAAGAAATAACGCAAATAATATATATATATATATATGTGTGTGTGTGTGTGTGTGTGTGTGTGTGTTTAAGATAGGATATAGAATCCCGACAAGGTTTTTCAGAAATTTGACAAATGGAAAACGTTTTTTTTAAACTAGATTAAATTATGCGTTTCGCCTTTCTAGGTTTCATCGGATCCAAAAACGAAAGAAAGAAATGTATGTATGTATGTGTGTGTGTGTGTGTATGTGTGTGTGTGAGTATATATGTGTGTGTGTGTATATGTGTGTGTGCGTGTGTGTGTATTTGTGTGTATGCTTAAATAATGAATCATAGTACTTTTTCCTTAAGCTGCCGTTTCTCGTGATTAAAGAAAGAAAATGAGATGAGTGACTTTTAAAAAGCTATTAATATTTCTTCTTTATAATTCTTAGTTCATGTTGAAAGTTGTTATTTTTTCCTTGCGTTTTTTCGTATCGAATCCTCATCTCATTTTCAGAATGGCTCAAAAGCATGAAATTCATATAGCCTTTTGCTGAAACGAATCCAAGGCAAATTCTCATCTAATCCTTAAGAAGTAAAAGATTTGTATATTTTTAGGTCTATCCATGTGTTTTCCATGTTTTACTTTCAACTCAACACATTCTGAAATGCACGTACACACACATTTCTTTCTTTCGTTTTTGGATCTGATGACGCCTAGAAAGGCGAAACGCCTAATCAAATCTAATTTCAATGAAACGTTTTCCCATTTATCAATATTTATTTATATATATATATATATATATATATATATATATATATATATATATGCACATAATTTTATAATTGAGTAATTAGGTAGCAATTGCGATTAAGCTTTTTATTTAATTTTTCTTGTGTTCGTTTTCTTTTCTGGATATAAATGTGTAAATATTGCCTAAATGTTCCGCATATCCGAGCGCTTTCGGCTATTCTTTTAGCCAGTATTTAGGGCGATTTTTCTTTTCCTTTTTCTTTTTAACTGAATGCATGTTTTTTATGTATGTGTCTATAGTTATAGGAATGTTTTATTTTCCAAACACAGTCAGCACATTGTGGCCGTGTTCATAATTGATGTTATTGAGTGTTGGCTTTTTATTTCTTATTATTAATGCTTCCATTATTTTTAGTCTTTTTTAACATGTGAATGAGGCTATTATACTTTTATTTTATAAAGATGATCATATATATATATATATATATATATATATATATTGCTTATATTTTGGCAGCATGTTCTCATCAAGACATGTCTCATTAATTAATTTAGACAAGTTCTGTTTACTTATTTTTTATAGGATCCTCTCGTAATTACGAATAAGTTTCTTAGTATCCTTATTAAAAGAAGAAAGAAAATTACCATTATTTTATTCATTTTATTCCGAGTACTTTCGACATTAGCACAACGTCGTCATTAGTGTCTTGTTTTTCTAAGACAAATAAATTGTTGTGTTTATCATTTTTTCAAGACAAAAATGTTGTGTTTATCTGAAAATTAAATTTTTACGTGCGAAGTGAAAATCCCTAAGGTTATGTAATGTATAATTTTTAAATTTTTATCATGCAGACACACGAGCGAACATCAGGGGAGGTAACTAAGTTATTGAAATATCTAAATATTTTTAAAAAAGAAAAAATATTTAAAACTATTAGTTAAAACCTAGATATTTTAAACTATCTACTGTAAACATTTTAAAACATTTGTACAGTATTCATAATTAATTTTATTAAGGGTTGGTTTCAATTTTTTTTAATATAGACAGCTTCAAGAATTTTTAGTTTATGTTCATTATTTTCATGAAAAAGTATAGATGTATTTCCAACAAGAATTTTCCTAGATTGCGAATGTGGACAGGCATGCTGTTGTAAATGTTGAGAGATGTTATAAGCATCATACAAATGAAAACTCAACCTTTGAGACAACGTAGTAGTGGTATGACCAACATATATATATTGTTTTTTCTGTTGGAGATACAATCTCCTAAGACATTTAAATTTATATACAATGTTGGTTTTCTACAACACGTTAGTTGGTGGTGAGCACATTGTGGCCGTGTTCATAATTGATGTTATTGAGTGTTGTTTTTTTCTGTCTTATTATTAATGCTTCTATTATTTTTAGTCTTTTTTAACATGTGAATGATTAAATTGGATATACTAAATTTAGTATAGTATATAATTAATTTTATTTTTTTACTATGATCTATGGTGGGTATATTAGTATTTATTATATCTTTAGGATATTTTCGACCTGTTTATAATTAGAATGTATTTGATTGCTATATAAATTATTAATATGTTTAGGGTTAATTGAAGAATTATATTCTATTTGCTTTATATTAAAATTTCTAATAGAACACCTTATTTGTTCATCAACAATATAATTAGGGAAGTTATTATTAAGAGTTTGTTTTATATTTTTTTAGTTCACTGTAAAAATCTGTTTTGTAGATGAATTAATTTTTGCACGGTTTATTAGCTTTTTTATAAATTTTATAGTAATTAAGACATTCACTCTTATAGTTAAGAGTGCATGGATTTATGCTCGTAGATTTCTTATATCGGGAGATAGTGAATTTATTATTATTAGTGTTTATTAATATATCTAGAAAAGTTCGTATGTAAATTTAAGAGAATTTCATTCATATTCTTAACTAATATAAGGATATTATCGACATATCTTAGATGAAGGTTTTTTTTTAATTTGTTAAATACACAACAAATTTTGTCTTAGAAAAAACAAGACCCTGATGACGATATTGTGCTAATGTCGAATGTACTCGGAATAAAATGAATATGTATCAATGTGGTTGTTGTAACACTTCGAAGGCTTGCAACAATCACAATAGCATTTGCAACCTCTTCCAACAGGAAAAAATTAGCGATAATGACATTTCCGGATGTAAAGAATCTTTTGAAACAGAAATCCGAAATCATGAGCCGTTGCATACATACAAAAAATTCCTCTTAAGCTCATGAGACTGGATAAAAAAAAAGTATGTACATTTCAAGTAACCCCCACCGTTACAGTATTAATAACCTTCTTCTTCTTCTTCTTCTTCTTCTTATTCTTATTATTATTATTATTATTATACCCAACGTCGTGCGTTTGTGCATTTATTTTTTAAAAAATGATACAGTTCATTAGTTTTTTTTGTTTTTTTAAATAAGGCGTTGGGAGGTCACTTGATAAAAATCGCCTGAGGATACCGTAAAGTTGAAACTAAGGTAGCGGAATCAACTGATCTCCTGATTTTTAAAGTTAAAAGCTCTACATGTTATTTTTATTTTTTCACACGTGTATTGAGCATTTCAGGTAACTCCAAGACGAAATAAATGTATTGTAGACCAAAAGATGTTTTTTTAAGAATATGTTATTTATTAACGGTTACATAATTTTGGAACGTGCAGTGTCGCAATGCTAGCCTATTAACCATTCGAAAATAGAAAACATATTAATGCCTGATGATGAAAATGTGATAATTTTCGAAAGTATTAGCAGCACCGAAGCATCAAATCCATCTTACAATTTTAAATATAAGGATCGCGTCATTCAACGAATGGTTAGTAGTTAATGCTTTATTAAATTTATTACCGAAGAGATTTTTTCGCTATTAATTACGCTAACTTTACTGATTAATTCTTTGTATGATTACCTCTTTATAATATTACATATAATGCACCATTTAATATATATATATAGATATATATATATATATATATATATATATATATATATATATATGTGTGTGTGTGTGTGTGTGTGTGTGTGTGTGTGTGTGTGTGGTGAGTAGGAAATAATAATAACTCTCTTTACCCACTCTTTCTAATTCGGGCGAGCTGAGGAAAAAGACGGAAAGAATTTGGTGAGCCTATTTCAAATTTTCTTTGGATCAATGAAAACTTTGACTTCACAGAGATTGGCCGACGAACTGAGAAAAAGACGAAAACAAATTCGCGAGCTTATGTGTAATGTTTTCCAATGAAAGGAATTAGTTGATGGGACTAAAAAAGAGAAAGAAAAGAAAATAGCGAACCTATGCGAAATTCTTTTTGATATAAAGCTAGGAAAAACTTAATTCAAGAAAAGTGAAGTGTCTGAAGTCATGTGAAAAGTTTAATTTCTGTTCGTGCGTCGAGTGTTCAGGTATTTGCCAGTGTCAAATTACTCGCCAATTATATTACCGACCATAACCAAGCACTTAGTACTTCAAAGAACTTTATTTCAACAATCCAAGAAAGCAAAGTATTTCAAACTATCTCTCTTCGTCTACCTTTGAACGTATGCAACCGTATATCCATTCTATGAACAGCGAACTCTCTTATCTTTGTTTTAAACATTTTTTAATATTATTTCGTGTCAGATCATTTAATCTGTTGTATAAACATTTTCTCTTCATGACAATTCGTTGAAACTACAGACTTCCTGATTTCTTTTCCTGAGACGAGCTACCGACACAACTTCAAGCGTGTAAATTCGTAACAAAATTTCTTAACTTGTTTCGTTAAAAATTATCCGTCTGTTTCCTCATCATTATCATCCCTCATCAACCGTCTTGGCGT